AGGCCCCCACAAAGGCTCCAGAGTAGAGGCTTTCATCTACTGATGTCAGGATGTAAGGACTAGTGTGACCCCTGGGCAGCTGTCTGCATGGGGCTCATGTCTACCTGTGCTGTTTGTACAAATAAACCTGAGGCAGGAAAAAAAAAAAAAAGAAGGGACAGAGAGGTAAGAGAGAGGGTCTTGTAAGGTCTTGTTAGGACTCTGGTTTTCACCTAAGTGAGATGGGAAGGAATTAGAGTTTGGAGAGAAGAATGACATGGTCTGACTTGTGTTTAACTGGATTCCTATGGCTGCTGTGTTGAAATATGCACAAGAAGGAAAGAGGGCAAGAAAGAAGAAGCGGGAAGCCTGTAAGGAAGCACTTGTAATTCAGGACAAAGATGAGAGCAGCACAATGCAGTTATTTAGAACTTCACACTATTTTTAACAATCACCAACACAGAACAATAATAATATTATAAATCTATAAATTCATCTTGCTAGTTTCGTTTTAATTTTGCTTGCAACTGTAGACTTCTGTTCTCATTTACACTCAGTGTTGCTTTTTCTTTATACAGCATTGTGGTTCAGACTAATTTTTAAGTTCAGAAAGAATACTCTGGGAAGGCTTTTAAAAACATACACACTCATCTCTTAATATTAATGTATTAGTGGAAGGAATTAATTTTCTAAGTCTACAGCTCTTCTGTTTCTCCTTTTCATGATATTGGGATCTGTTTTCAAAATCTTTAAGATGCCAAGTGTCTGCCCCTAAATCTGTAAGGGTTTAAAAAGGTATCCTGAAGGTCATGATGCCATTTTTATTGGAAATTTTAAAATGCAACTTTTTATTTCCAAACCTTTAAAGTAGAAGTGATAAATGTTGTTGCCAATAATAAAGATATATGCACAAATATTTATCAGAATGGAAGATAGAGCCTGCTTTCTCATAAAAGCTAATTAGAGAAAAAGCCAATAATACATTTCCGTTTTTTCTCTCTGGAGGATGTTATTGCCTTAGTCTGATTGTTAATAAATGTTTTATCCTGATGTTCTTAAGTTCTTTTCTCATGAAATATCAATATTGTGAAAAGTGGCCCTAAGTATTCCAGCAGAAGAAAAAAAATGTATTTTAGTGTATAGAAGTTTCTCAATTAACTTTTTCCCATACATTTTTCTTAAAAACTTGATGCCTATTGGTTTACCATATAACCTACTATATGGTAATATCTCTTTAAGTCCCACGATTCATCATTAGGTACTGAATTTTATTATAACTTCATTTCATGTCATAAGCAAAGAACATGAATGTCCCTCCATCTGAATAAATTTGAGAACTGCTGGACTATCTTGATTGTACAAAACTGCTTCCTTTCCAGTCTTCCTAAAAATGAGCTTAAGTTTTGTCAATATATAAAAATGACTATTTCAGTGTCACTTGTGCAAATGGGAAATTCACTCACTCTTCAGGGTGAAAGGCCACTTTTTTTATGTATCAGGAGCATTTTACAACCTGAAAGAGGATATCATTGTTTTTAGAGAAGACTATATACTTAGTCTTTGTCAAAAAGTACTACTTCTCCTTTAGGACTTGAAATTTCTTGCAGCCAAGATCAACAGCTTTCTTGGAAAAGCACACAAAGTCTTAGGATCACATTTTGAATAAAATGTTCCCACTGTCAAACTGTTTTTAACTAAGCTCCTTAAAATAACATTAGGTTGATTTAAATCTTCAGCTTTCTGCTTGAAGTTTTTGAACTGCAAAGCAATCTAGTGGTCTTGCAAACGTTACTAAGGTTTTTTTTTTTTTTCAATGTCCATTGTCAAGAATATAACTTAAAACACCTCCTTCCCCCAAAATATGACCCAAGCCATTGACCAGAAGAGCTGGGATATGAGGCAGGGTAAGCAGATGGGAACTAGGAATGGGGAGCGGGGGGTGACCTCAGGCCAAAGGACTGCAGTGGTATTAAAATAGGAGAGTTTGATCTGTGGTCTCCAGATAGCACACCTGAATGTCAGTCAGGGTACGGACTGGAGTGAACGGGCAGGCACGTAAGAGGACAAAGGTTGTGACCAGCTCACACGGTTTTACTTTAGGTTAACGTGACTTAATTTCAGTTCCTGCCTCTGT